AAAACGAGGTGTCCTGGCATGGTTTCGATGGTTGGAACGTGTTTAGAAGGGGCAGAAATGATGAGCTACGCAGAAAAAGCTACTCAAGGAAGACTTTTTCAAAATCGCATTATTTTCAATGGAACTTTAGCCCTTTATTCGGGTTAGGGGTGGGCCGCAGGGTAGGGTTAGGGTTAGGAAAACGAGGCGTCCTGGCAAGGTTTTGATGGTTGGGATGTGCTTAGAATGGGCAGAAATGACGAGCTGCGCAGAAAAAGCTACTCAAGGAAGGCATTTTGAAAATTGCATGATTTTCAATGGAACTCTAGCCCTGCATTAGGGTTAGGGGTGGGCCCCAGGGTAGGGTTAGTGTTCGGAAAACGAGGTGTCCTGGCATGGTTTCGATGGTTGGAATGTGTTTAGAAGGGGCAGAAATGATGAGCTGGGCAGAAAAAGCTACTCAGGGACGGCTTTTTCAAAATTGCATTATTTCGAATGGAACTTTATCCCTATATTAGGGTTGGGGTGGACCCCAGGGTAGGGTTAGGGTTAGGAAAACGAGGTGTCCTGGCATGGTTTTGATGGTTGGAATGTGTTTAGAATGGGCAGAAATGATGAGCTGCGCGGAAAAAGCTACTCAAGGAAGACTTTTTCAAAATCGCATTATTTTCAATGGAACTCTAGCCCTATATTAGGGTTAGGGGTGGGCCCCAGGGTAGGGTTAGGGTTAGGAAAACGAGGTGTCCTGGAGTGATTCTGATGTTTGGAATGTGTTTGGAAGGGGCAGAAATGATGAGCTGCGCAGAAAAAGCTACTCAAGGAAGACTTTTTCAAAATCGCATTGTTTTCAATGGAGCTCTAGCCCTATATTAGGGTTAGGGGTGGGCCCCAGTGTAGTGTTAGGGCTCGGAAAACGTGGTGTCCTGGCAAGGTTTTGATGGTTGGGATGTGCTTAGAATGGGCAGGAATGATGAGCTGCGCAGAAAAAGCTACTCAAGGAAGGCGTTTTGAAAATTGCATTATTTTCAATAGAACTCTAGCCCTGTATTAGGGTTAGGGGTGTGCCCCAGGGTAGGGTTAGGGTTCGGAAAACGAGGTGTCCTGGCATGGTTTCGATGGTTGGAATGTGCTTAGAATGGGCAGAAATGATGAGCTGGGCAGAAAACGCTACTCAAGGAAGGCGTTTTGAAAATTGCATCATTTTCAATGGAACTCTAGCCCTATATCAGGGTTAGGGGTGGGCCCCAGGGTAGGGTTAGGGTTCGGAAAACGAGGTGTCCTGGCATGGGTTTGATGGTTGGAATGTGTTCAGAATGGGCTGAGATGCTGAGCCGTGCAGAAAATTCTGCTCAAGCAAAGTTGAGAAAGTTCAGAATGTTCAGCTTTTTAAAACACCTGATTTTAATATTTGTATATCTACAGTATGTTACAGTGGAAATATTACAGTTCTTCCCAGTGCCTTTCTTTTTCATCAACCCTTTTCGAGTTGTGTCTGCTAAAGGTATATGGACCTGCCTCACAAACCCTCTTGCCTCTCCCGTATTATGTTTTTAAATTCCCTGTGTACATTTCTGCTTGTTTGAATTCCTCGGTTAAACATTCCTAATTAATTTCAGTTTTTACAAACCTCTTCCTATATTTTAGTAGCATCTGCTCAATATCTTGCTTAGTTTCTTTTTCCTAGTTTTGTATGGAGCTTGACTCAAATCTGTTTACGTTATCATTGAGAAAGTTGAACTCCTTGGAAAACGTTCTCTTCATCGCCTCTTCTGCATCCTTATGTTTATGCAATCTCACATACCTAACTTGAGATTGTATAAATGGCTATAAAAATCCCATTTACACTGCACCTAATCTGATCGAATCACATAGGTTTGTTCCACCTTTCCCCTTTGGTTAGAGTTAATATCATTAATTATACATGCCCCGCTTGCAGCCAAGCCATTCATCAATCCACACTCCCCAGCAGCTACCCCAAGGCCGCCCACTCCCCTGGTCACCCGTGGGCTTAGCCAAGGGGCGAGCCCCCGGCCGTGCCCCCCAAGGTGGCGCACCGGAGCGCTCTCCCCGGCGTCTGTTGGCAGCCGTGTTCCCGGACTTGCCCTCCCACGGGCTCCTCCCACGTGGCACGACGGACGGGCCGAATGCTCGCGGCAATGGGGGCTCCCCTCGCGGCAAGCCCCCACCTCGCGTGGCTGCCCCGAGGCGGGCGAGGACGGCGCCGCCCCTTCCTTGCCAGGCCTCCACCCCTGTGGGAGAGCGCCGGGGCTGGCCACGGGGACGTGCCTAGAGCACCGCACGCTCCCCGCCGAGGCCCGCCTGGCCCCGGCCCTGCTGCCTTTCCGTGCCAGGTTCAGGCCGCTTCCCGGGACTGGCTAGTTGCCGAGCGGGGCTAAACAGTTTCCTCAAGTTATTGCACCTGTTTTAAATTTGCTTTAGATTTGCACGGTGAGCTTGTTTATGATGTTTTAGGAGGGTGTGTTTTATATAGTGTTGCCCGGAGATTTGGCTCTGGGCTGCATGGAAATGAAATGAGCGTGTGGGTGGGCGGGATGGTGGAATCCCCACCCCCCTGCCCCCCGCGCATCACGTCGTGATGGGCGCCACCTGGAGCGTGTGGCAGCTTCCTTACGGATGGCTGGCGGCAGGCACCCTTGGCTCTGGGGGTGGGCTCGCGTGCACCAGCAGGCAGGGAGGGCGTTTCGCAGTCGGGTCCTGCTTACGGGCTCCCCGCTGGGGCGTCTGGTTGACCACTGTGCCAACAGAGCGCTGGCCGGGAATGGCTTTCAGCCGCTCTGGCCTGGCTCCTCTTGCGCTCTTGGAAAGGGTGGGCCTTGAAGGACGCGAAGGCGCAGGGGCTGTTGCGGGTCCAGCCCGCCCTCCAACGCCGAGCTCCCCCTCTGCTCCCCGGGGCTCCCCAGGGCCCTGGAAGAGCCGAGCCGCCCCACGTGGGCTGCCGGGGTGCGGCTGATGTGGACTGTGTGGCCTCTGGCAGGTCTGAGATGCACAGCAAGCCCGTCTCGCAGCGCTTCGGGCTGATGCTGGAGGCCTTCTGCCGCGGGTGTGGCATGTACCTCAAGCACCTGAACCGGCAGGTGGAGGCCATGGAGAAGCTCATCAACCTCACGGACATCCTGAAGCAGGAGAAAAAGGACGAGACGCAGAAGGTATCCACCTCGGGCTCCGTGCCCAGGGGCCCCGCGCCACCGCACCGGGGGCTCCTGGCCACAGCGGGCTCCGAGAGGGCACTGCCCCTGCCTGGGTCGCTGGGGAGGGGGGGCGTACGGAAAGCCCCTTTCTCAGCCCGTTCCAGGACTCTTGGGCGCCTCCTCCCAGCGCAGGACGAAAGTGCAGGGCCAAGACCTCATTGCCAGGCTTCTGGAAAGGGGGTGGGGGAGGCTGAGCCCAGCAGGGGGCATGGGGTGGGGCCTGGCCAGGCGTGGCCCCCAGGCCTGCAGTTCCGCAGCCCCGGTCCAGGCGGTGGCCAGCTTTACGTAAGAGGCGGGGTGTGGCTGGGGGTCCGGGAGCCCGCAGGGAGGGGCTCTGCAGATGCTCAGGGTGTCTTTTGTCTTTGTGTCTTTTGTCCCCCCCAACCTCACAAGATGCAGATGAAGTTCCTGGTGGAACAGATGAGGAGGCCGGATTACATGGAAGCCCTCCAGGGCTTTATCTGCCCGCTCAACCCAGTGCACCAGCTGGGGAACCTGCGGTAAGGCCAGACGGCTCCCCTGGCAGGGAAGAGGCCGGCCAGTGTGGGGGGCGGGGGCTCAGGTCCCGGGGCTCCCCGGGAAAGGGCAGGCGGAGCAGAGCCGCCCGCAGGGCCTCCGCTCTTGCAGCCACGAGCGCCGTGCCTTCTCCAACAGACTGGATGCGTGCCGGATCATGTCTTCCGCCAAGCGCCCGCTGTGGCTGAACTGGGAGAACCCCGACATCATGTCCGAGCTGCTTTTCACAAACCACGAGATCATATTCAAAAACGGAGACGGTGAGAGCCGGGCAGCCGAGCGGGGAGGGAGGCAGTGCCGGGGAACTGCCTGCGCGCCTCCGGGGGCAGCTGGCGGGCCGCTCCGGGTCAGGGGCTCTCGCCCACATGCCGGCGGGCACCGCCTGCTGCAGCGACCCCCGGGCCCTGCTTGTCCGCGGCCTCCTGACTCTGGCCAGCCGCCGCTTCAGTTCAGGTGGGCTCACAGGGTCCCTCGTGGGAGCGTCGGCTCCCTGACGTCCCCCCACGGCCCGGCCTCCATCGGCCAGGTGCAGCGGCCACGTGAGCGGCTCCCCAAATGTATGCTGGCAGCCCTTGCTGCCCCCGTGCCCAATTTTTACTTCCTTCCAAGGAAGCCATCAGATTCCGGGGGTGGGGACTGGGGGGGCTGCTCTGATGCCAGACCCCGCTGCCCAGCTCTCGACCGTCCGTACCTGCAGGCAGAGGTGCAGGTAGGAAGCACTGAGGAAGCTTTGGAACCGGAGCCAGTCTTAGGCCAAACGGGTTAATTCGCTGCTGCTGCTGATCCTGGGACTGTGCTTTAATGTTGTTCTTTTCATGTTGGTTTAAACATGATTTTCTTTTTAGCCTGGATTTTATTCTTAGCCGCCGTGACTGCCCCTTTTGATCATAAGGATACCGATAAGCAAGATAACATTTGTCCGAGCTCAACTCCAGAATTTGGAGAGTCCACGAGTTAGTCAGCTGAAAGTAATTCATCGGATATGCCACGGCCCGTCTCAAAGGGCATCTCTGAGCTGTTTTCGGAAGCCAGTTAAAATGCATAAAGCCGCGCAGAAGGCCCCGAGCGCCGGCAGAAGCGTTTCAAAGCACAGGCGGCGGCGGCACGGCCCGAGCGGCGTCCCTGGGGTGGCTCCTCCCCGCTTTGCCCCCACCCAGGCCCATCTCCCCCCGTTCCACTTTTCAACCCATTATAGATCATTTGGACGGGTCCTTCGGACGCTGCTGGGTTTGCTTCGCTGACACCCGCCGGCTTTGTCACCCACAGACCTCCGCCAAGATATGCTGACGCTGCAGATCATCCGGATAATGGAGAGCATGTGGCAGAACCAAGGACTGGACCTCCGGTACAGAACCCGCTCGGGGAGGCCGGCGGCAGGGTGGGTGGGACCCACAGGGCTGTGACCGGGGCCGGGCGCCGGAAGAGGCGCGGAGCCGGCCCCGCACCCTCCCACGACCACCCGTGTGGCCCCCTGTTCCGCGGGGCCGTGGCGCCTCCCTCTCTGGATGTGCGTGATGGGACTGTGCCGGGAACCAGGCCCCCGCAACTGGGTGCCCTCCAGAGGTGTGGGTCCGAGCCCCGTCCTTGGCGGCCATTGCACCCAGCAGCCCCCAGTGGCCTCCGGGGGGGAGCCCACCAGCCGGCCTGCAGCCCCCGCGCGGCCCTCCCCCCCTGAGCCCCGTGCCCCGGCTCTCTTCCGGTCCCCTGCAGGATGCTGCCCTACGGCTGCCTGTCCATCGGGGACTGCGTGGGCCTCATCGAGGTGGTCAAGAGCTCGCACACCATCATGCAGATCCAGTGCAAGGGGGGGCTGAAGGGGGCGCTGCAGTTCAACAGCAACGCCCTGCACCACTGGCTGAAGGACAAGAACAAGGGCGAGGGGTCAGTCCGCGCGGGGCCCGGCCCAGGGGCCCGGGAGGCCCCGCCGCGGGGCAGGGGGCTGGGTGGGGTCGAGGGCTCTCCGGGGGGCAGGGCGGGGCGGGCCCCCTCGGCGCCTGTGCTGACAGGCCGCTCCTCGGCTCAGGTACGACGCGGCCATCGACCTCTTCACGCGCTCCTGCGCAGGCTATTGCGTCGCCACCTTCATCCTGGGCATCGGGGACCGGCACAACAGCAACATCATGGTCAAGGACGACGGGCAGGTGAGAGCATCCCCCGCCCGGCCCGGCCCTCCTAGGGCAGGGAGGCCCCGGGGAAACGGGCCGCGGGGGCGGAACGCGCCAGCCCCGTCTCCTCCCAGCCCCTCTTGCTTTCCCCGCAGCTGTTCCACATCGACTTCGGGCATTTTCTGGACCACAAGAAGAAGAAATTTGGCTACAAGCGCGAACGGGTGCCCTTCGTCCTCACGCAGGACTTTCTGATTGTCATCAGCAAAGGGGTGCAGGAATGTACCAAGACCAAAGAGTTCGAAAGGTGGGGACCAGGCATCTGTAAGAGCGGTACAGAATCTTTCCGGCCCGGGGCTGAAGCTTGAAGGAGCTTCAGGGGACCACAACCGGAGAGAAAGATGTGGTTTTTGGAGCGTGCTCATGGAAAGCTTCCAGGCATTGAGTTCCTCCTGGCATTCACTTTTGGGATTACGACCCAGAAGTGTCTGCTTGTGAGCCTAAGCGACACTCTCGTGCGTAACCAAGAGCACACACATGTGGCTAAAGGATGCTTCCAAAGAGTGCCGCTCTCGTTTTTGTCCATTTATGCTTTATGTTCGGACTGCTTATGTTTATGTTCTAGCTATTCATTTATTTATAGTTTTTCTATGCCGTCCAATACCAAAAGTCTCTGGACGGCTTACAAAAAATCAAAAACCTACAAAATCCTGACATGTCCCACAAGGTATTACAAAACCGTACAGCATTAAAAGCGTAGCAGCACCGAGATCAATTGATACTTGGGAAGACCCACGGTACCCGAGTCAGGTGTGGGCAGCCGTTGAAAGCCCTGCTAGCCGAGGGGTGGCGGGAGCTGCAGTCAAATCCCTCCGGAGGCTGCCAAGCGAGGCGAGACCCCGTGGGGGCTCCCTCAGCCCCCGCCCCCCCAGCAGCCCTGCGGGCACCCGGCCCGGCCCCGCTCACCGCAGCCTCGCCCCACCAGGTTCCAGGAGATGTGCTACAAGGCCTACCTGGCCATCCGCCAGCACGCCAACCTGCTGATCAACCTCTTCTCCATGATGCTGGGGTCGGGCATGCCGGAGCTGCAGTCCTTCGACGACGTGGCCTACCTGCGCAAGACGCTGGCGCTGGACAAGTCCGAGCAGGAGGCGCTCGAGTACTTCACCAAGCAGATGAACGAGGCCCACCACGGCGGCTGGACCACCAAGATGGACTGGATCTTCCACACCATCCGCCACATGCCCCTGAGCGAGGCCAGCCACGACTGAGGGGCGCAGGGGGCCGGGGCGACGAGGGCACGACCGGCCCGCCCGCCCGCGGGAGGAGAGCGTGGGGCGGCCCCGTCCCGGCAGCGAGGGCGGCAGCCCGCACGGCCCCAGGCCGCCTGGTTGCAGGTCCTGTCCTCTCCGCTCCAGAGAGAGGAGCCCGGAGGGCTGGTGTGCCTGGGGCAGGTGAGGAGAGGGGCTGGGCGGGCCGGGCAGAGGCCCCGGCTGAGGAGGCTACGGAGGGTCTGGGAGAGGGCGGAGACCCGGGCCTCCGCCTGGGGCACCTCCTGGAGGAAGGGGCGCAGCCGGCCTCCCCCGGGGGGCGAGTGGATTTCCCCTCGCGGAACGAGGGCCCCTTCCCTGCTTCCCTGGCCGAGCGGGACGGGAACCGGCTCTTCCCTGCCCCACGGGCAGCGCGGCGCCCGAGGCCCATGGGGGCCGGGATGGGGCGGGGGCTGTGGGGGCACGGCTGGGCGCCGTTCGCGCGACCGGAGGGACTGACGGGGAAGCGACTATACTTGAAATCTCCAGAGCTGGAAAGGAGTTCTGTTTTGCAAATAAAATTTTAGAAAGACGGTCCGGCTGGGGAAAGCCATGCGCCGGTGCTGGGCGGGGGTCGCTCAGCTCGGCTGCGGCTCCTGCGCACCAGGGAGTGGCGGGGAGAAGCGCGGGCTGGCCCACGTGCGGGGCCTCCCGGCCAGCGGCCTCACCCCTCCGAGCCCCACAAGCCGAGCCGGCCCGGCCCTGGGGCGCCGCAGCGTCCCCCTCCCGCCTGGGCAGGGCAGAGCTCCGGGCGGCCCTGCGTCCTGCCCCGTTTTCGTAACGCAAACGCAGCAGGGCCAGGAAATGGCTCCCCTCCGCTTGCGGGGCGCGCCCCCCCGCCCCCGCCGTTCCTGACATGCTGGACTGGGGGCTCCTTGGGGGCCCCGTGGAGGAAGGCTGCCCATCGAGCCGCATCCCTCCCCGTGGATCTCGCCTTCGTGTTTGTGCGCTAGATCTGCCCGAGAACATGGCGGGCGAGGAATAATCACAGCAGTGTAACAAGAAATAATTTATAGTGACCTCTGCCACTGACAAATTAACGAAGTTCCCGTTATTAGTGAGGTAAGCAAGTAGATTTTCATCACAACACATAGCAATGCACATTTATAGCCATTCCTGCCACTGATAAATTAAGTCGGCGAGGGATCCGCAGAGGGACTGTCAACAAATAGGAATTTGGGAGGGGGGGCGCACAAAATGAAGGCAGAAGAATATTGCAATGCATCTGTTCCATTCATAGCTGCTCCTGATGAATTAGGATGGCAAATCGCTACAACATAATTAACAATTAAGTGGGAGGATACAAATGCGGCATGTTATTACGTGAACAATTTATAGTGACCCCTGCCACTGATAAATTAGGAGCTGGGAAAGGAAAGATCAGGCCGGAGCAGAGGATATGGAAGGGTGTAGGCTGAAATTCTGTGTGTGTGAGAGAAAGCGGGAGAGAATTCGGATGTTTGCTTGCCTGAATTAATCAGGCGCGTTCAGCCACCTTGGCCGAAGAGGGACGCTCGTGTCTTCCTAATTCCAGCTGCGGGAGACCCTCACAGGAATTTCGCTGGAGTCAGAAATTGTTGTCGACATTCCAGACGTCCCCGCTGAGGGCATTCGCCGCCCCCTGCAGGGTCCAGGTGACGAGCGCCAGCTGGTGCCGGAACTGGATTTCGTCGAAGTCCTCCGGCGCCTCTCGCAGGAGGCTGGCGTGCTCCAGCAGGGCCCCCAGCGTGTGGGGCCCCCGGCCGTGCAGGATGTGCCGGAACGGGGTTTCCGTGACCGCCACGTATGGAGACAGGAAGTAGAATTCCACCTAGGACAAAGCGGGGCTGTCGGCAGCGCAGCGCAGCGCAGGGGTCCCGAGTGCCCACTGCTCTGCTCCCCACGTCTGGCAGCCTCCCGTGCAGGGGGGCCGGGGGAGTCAGGAGCGAACATACGAAGGACCCAGGCCAGGTGTCCGCCTCGCGCCGTCCCAGCAGCTGGCCTGGCTGCTCCAGCACTCGGCTTCCACGGTAGCCCACCAGGTGGTCCCACCAGAGACCCCCAAGCAAGGCAGGAGGGCAGTGGGACCCTCCAGCCCCATTCCCCAGTAATGGGCTCGCATAGGCACTGCCCCTGGTATCGAAGGTGACCCTAAGGACCAGCAGCCACTGACGGCCTCCTGCCCACTCACTGAGGCCACCCAGTGGGGACCACCCCTGCGCCTCGAGGCAGCGGGTTCTCCAGGCTGCGTGAAGACCCTTTTGTCGTCCCGGATCCCCCATCGCTCTGCATTGCGGGGCAGCTCTCGCGTAACGAAGGACGCAGAAGAGTCGCTCCCCATCCGCCCTCTCCGCACCAGCCCCCATTTTGCACGCACCTGCCCCCTCCCTTTTACGCCGAGCTATTCTGCGATTGCCCCCGGACCTTGCAGGGGAGCTGCGGCAGCCCCCGGGGGCCCGCGCCGGAAGTGCAACGGGTCGAGCAGGCTCTGCCCACGAGGAAGCAGCTGCCCCCCGCCCGGCCCGGTCCGCGCACGGACTCGCGGACGGGGATGCGGGATGCTGCGGCGCGCGCGGCGGGCGGCAGGGGGCGCCCGCGGGCCAGGCAGAGGCCGCGGCTCGCCCCCCCCCCCCCCC